CACCAAATGTGGAAGCTGCTCTGGTCAGATGAAATCAACATCAAACTTTTAGCCACAATGCAAAACGATATGTTTGGCGTAAAAGCCACATAGGTCATCACCCTGAACACACCATCCCCAGTGTCAAATATAATGGTGGCAGCATCACAGTTTGGGCCTGCTTTTCTTCAGCAGAGACAGGGAAGRTGGTTAAAATTGATGGGAAGATGGAAGGAGCCAAATACAGGAGCATTCTGCAAGAAAACCTGTTGGAGTCTGCAAAAGACCTGAGACTGGGACGGAGGTTTATCTTCCAACAAGACAATGATCCAAAACAWAAAGCAAAATCTACAATGGAATGGTTCACAAATAAACATATTTAGGTGTTAGAATGGCCAAGTCAAAGTCCAGACCTGAATCTAATCCAGAATCTGTGAAAAGAGCTGAAAACTGCTGTTCAAACGCTCTCCATCCAACCTCACTGAGCGCCAGCTGTTTTGCAGGAAGAATGGGCAAAACTGATAGWGACATACCCCAAGAGACCTGCAGCTGTAATCACAGCAAAAGGTGGTGATACAAAGTATTAACGCAAGGGGGCCGAATAACATTGTGTGCTTAATTATTCAGGGGTTTTTTTGTTAAATTTTTTTTAAATGGCCAATAAATTTCGTTCCACTTCACGATTGTGTCCCACTTGTTGTTGATGCTTCCCAAAAAAATTAAAATGTACATCTTTATGTTTTGAAATGTGGCAAAAGTTTGAAAAGTTCAAGGGGGCCRAATACTTTCTCAAGGCATTGTACGGTTATTCAGTTTAAGCTTCTGCTTCTTCTGCCCTTCTTCTCCTTGTGTCTTTTCTTCAAAGATTGTAAGTAATGTAGAATTTTCTGCTATTATTCAGCTCACTTTCATTTCTTTTTTTAAAATTTAATTTCAGCATCATTCAGCATTCACACTTTTTAAATTGATATCTGTCAGGGGCGGACTGGGGCAAAAAAAATGGCCCGGGAATTTAGTACCCGACTGGCCCATTCAAGGTCCGGGCTGGCAGATGATGTCTGCAAATGCTGGAGGCCGATGGTGGAGGCAGATGATGGATGCGCCGGCCCACCGGGAAAAGTCCCGGTACTCCCAATGGCCAGTCCACCCCTGATATCTGTTGAACTCCTCTGCTTACCATGTGTTTTTACTGGCAGCTGATTGTCGCAGTAGAGCAGGAAGAGATTCCCAGACTGAAAGCTCTGTACGACCGTGGCATGAAGAACAACGTGCGTGACCTCAGCATCGTTGATGCCAAGGGCATCCGAGAGCGAGAGCCTTACTGCAGGGTAAAAGATAGGTTATRTTTTTGACCAAATGGCAGTGTGTCAGGAGAAGCTAATGGAATGGTTAATGTCCAGGGGGTTATGGCCTTGGATTCGCCCTACACCGGGATTGTAGATTGGAGGATGGTGGCTCTCAGGTATGCCTCAGACTTTGAGGAGGCAGGTGGCACCGTGCGAACTGAATATAAAGTCAGTGACATTTCTACAGTCAAAGAGAGCCCAGCTGGGAGCACTGAAGGTAGAAAAACCTTGCTTTTTTAAAATCTCAACACAGTAATGATTCAAAAAYCTGCTGCTTTAATGTATCCATCCTGTTGTCCACTTTATTCTCTTTTTAGGAATTAAATATCCCATTTCGATCAGAGATGAAAAGGTAAGATTTAGAAGCATCAAAGGTTTTAAAAGACATTACTGTGGGAATGCTGAGTCACACTGTTGTTTTCCTGTTAATAGTTCCTTCTGCAGGGGTTTTGACTCCAAACTACCTCGGTGTACTTTCAGCTATTTGAGTGTCAAAACTACGGTTGGGCGATATATCACAAATTTATTGACATTGCAATATCAGTGAGCACAATATCACTAAGGACAGCAGTAAAGCATAGATAAGTGCCACACTTCAGGTTCTGCTGCTAATTATATGTTTGGTTGATCCAACAGACTCACCTTGTTGGCTACACCTGGGTTAGATGATGGTGATGATGACAGACGAGAAAATGATAAAATGTTTGTTCATTACTTACGGTGAATATAGTCATGAAAATATTAAACAGTAATAGCATACATTGCAAGTTTTTTTTTTTAGCCTTACATGAGGCCTAATCGATATACAGTAGTCAGCCTATTCAGGACGTTACTGTTTTTTGTTTTCTTACTTTTTTATATTCCAGCCATCCAGCTATACTCGCTTCTTTCTTTCAGGGTCATGGGGGTCACTGGTGCCCATATCAAGAAGTCACAGTGCGAGGGGTGGAGTACACCCTGGACAGACCCTTTTTGACAGTTTTTTACACTAAATGTCTTCAAATTCTTAAGAACTTTGTGTTCCTTGAAATTTTTTTTCAGCATACTTGCTGAAGAAAACTACATACGTATACTCCACGTATACATACTTAATACTTTTTAACTTTGACGTGCATTTTTTTAGGTTCAGTTTAGTTGTTGTTTTTCAATTTTTGGCKTATGTTTAGTGTTTTGCTCGTTTAATAATTTAGAGACTGTTTTGCTAGTTTCAATTCATTTAGCTGCTGTTCTGTTGCAGTTTCGATCAATCGCTGAACCTTGAAGTGGCTTCCGTCCTGGTTGTGGAACTGTGGACCAGATCTTGACTTTAYTCTTCRTGGGAGTTTRGGAGTTTGCCTCTCCGGTCTACATGTGTTTTATAGATTTGGAGAAGGCTTATGATCTTGTTCCTTGAGGCAATCTGTGGGGGATGCTGTGGAAGTATGGCRTGTCTGGGTTGCTATTGAGAACGATCCATTCCCTTTATACCTAAAGCAGGAGCTGTGTCTGCATCCTTGGAACAAAGTCGAGTTCTTTCTCAGTGTGGGTTGGACTCGGTCGATCATGGTAAAGAAAAAGCTGAGTTTAAAGGTTGATTTACTGTTACTGTCTCGTTCCAACCATCCTCTACCRTCACGAGGTGTGGATCATGACTGAAAAAACAAGATTCCGGATACAAGCAGCTGATATGAACTTACTTTACAGGGTGGCCACCGGGCTCAGCCTTACCTCTAATTTACACTACATGTGGTTCTGCTCCGCTCCATTCTGACTTGAGAAAATATGCAGCCATTCTAATCAATGAGAGTATTACACTGGCTCCGCACAGCAGCGCAGGGCTGCTGTGAGCAGACGGCGATCTGCCAAAATTAGATTCGATCCTATTTTTGCCAGGAAAAATACCAAGCATACCATCTGTATTTTCAAAATAATTCATGTATCGTTCTGTTTGTGAAGCAGATGACAACATGTAGCATGCAGCAAATGTATGCATGTATCACATGATGCATGTGAATTTTATTTTGAAATCAGAATTTTCAAAAACACAACAGTGATGCAGTTTCAACTGTGTTAAGAGTCTGTCTTTTACAGAATTAATTATTTTGCTCTGACTTCCACATCATTCATTTATCACATTTGTGGGTGGCTGTGGCTGAGTTAAGGGAGTCGTCCTCTAAATCAGAGAGTTGGTGGTTCGATTCACCTCTATTCAGTTACATGTCTAAGTGWCCCTGGGCAAGACGCTGAAACCTCTCTGCTTCTGATGTGTGCCCCATCAGTGGATGAGCTTGATTTAAAGCACTAACTCGTCTCTAAACGATGATTCATACATGGTARCTTTGTAGAGATCTAGTAGAGTGCTGTGTGGACACAGATTGTAGTGTGCAGAGCTTTGAGTATCCTGGCTATCAGTGGTGGACAAAGTACTCAACTCTAGTACTTGAGTAAAAGTATTGATACTCAGGGTCAAATCTACTCAACTACAAGTAAAAGTTACTCCATCAAAAATCTACTCAAGTTAAAGTACTGAAGTATTTACTTTTGAGTATTCAAAAGTACAAATTAAATGTTCTAATATCAGTACATTGCTGTATTGTTTTCAGAGGAATTTTACAGAACCTTGTACGGTAACTCCCAGAAACCACCTGATGTTTCGACACTTAGAACCACTGTGGTAAAAATTCTACACCACCTGTGAAGACTTTACATAAAAACGCAATAAARTGAGTGATGAGTTCTTAAATGCAGAAATGTAGTTTATCTGCAGTAAACACAGAAGACATTTAAACTGATACRAACTATTTTTCCGTTCTTAAATCTTAAACATCGAGCTGAGATATGATCATGGATGCTCTGGTTTCTCTACTCTCTTCAACCGTCTCCGTTGCTGGGTTCTGTTTGAAATGAAGGTGGAGCTCTGCTCGCGACCGTTAATGAAGATGATGTAATTCCAAATCTATCTTAGATGTGAGCTACGAGTGTTATTGGTTCCCCTTGCCATAGAGTGTGGCCAATTGCATTTCAAGAAAGAAAATGGTTACAAAGTAGCCTTGTCCTTGCTTTCATACGCAGTTCCGCTCRATATTAGTTTCCCTTCTCTGCTCCGTCTGGGACTTCTCCCATAGACGAGGATTTCTTTGGTAGGATTTTACCTGGGCCAATCAGAGAACAGGAGGAGGAGTYTTAAACGACAACCTCGATTTTCTTCTGCTAGTTTAGCAATGGCATTGGAGGAAGTGAATGAAACCAGTCCATGTTGATAAGGCTTCCAAATTAAATTAAAATTGTCTGACAAAGCAGCAGCTCTCATTTACAGTCGTCTTGTTTGGCTCGATACTTCTCTCAGTAGGGTTGTTTAAAGCAGAGGTTCTCAAACTGGGGTCCTAGGACCCC